ACAAATTATACCCAAAGATATTTTACCAGCCAAGATGCACGAGGATGCCCATATCTGGACTTCGTGCTGCCATGAAACGGCAGGCCTATATCCCATATAAATTCATAAAAAGCTAACAATGTGGGTTATGGTAAATTATTTTTGCAGGGCCCTGCCAAGCCAGACTGCCAAAAATGTTTCTTTAAATGTATCCAAAACGCAAAGCAATCTACACAGCATGAGAGTCTGGATATTACATGTAAACATATGTGGTATTCTGGATAACTATCGAAAAGTATGATTTATGCTTCATAATCCCATTTTACAAGATAGATTGTTTTCTAGTTCTGGGCTGAGAGTCTTAGGGGGAGATTTATCAAAGCATTTTCTGGTGTGAATTATCAATTTTGATGGTCTTTCTCCCTATTCATCACTTTTTTGTCATTTTTTATTCCCTTTGCATTATGGTTTGTATAGTACAGTCCATTTATTTATATTTATGGGTTTTCTGCACCAAAACTGTTCTACTTTCTGATGTTTTCTTACTCCCTTTTTATTTGGTATAGAAAGTGAGACAGGATATGCACAGGATATTTTTTAGTAAGGGACACACTATTGTGGGATACATTACTCAAGCTGCTTTAAAGGTTCCTTAATAAATTGTTACATTTTGTGAACTACCAAAAAAGGTACTTTTCAGAAATGTTTAATAAAGCTCTATGTCTTTATAAAAGGTGAAAATATTACACTAATGTACTATATATTACAAACAAATGAAAATATCATAATTTGATGTACACTTCTACATGCAAAAATCAATTTTCCATACAACCAATATTTTCATGTATTCTACATTGCAATCCATGGAAAGTGGCTATTAAAATAATAATAAGATATTGTAGATAAACATGACATCTATTTTATATTGGTTACACATTATATGTTTTAATTGTGCAGAAAATCTCCACATGACCCTCGGTAATGGATCAAGTACCAAAATAATAATTGCTAATCATTTCTATTCCATTATTAAAAACACAGTAAAATGTTAAATATCGTAATCGCTTTAGACATATTTCTTAATAACTGGAATTGCTAACTCCAAATAGCAAGGCCCTTAAATACGCTAAATTACGACCAATTGTTGCAGTTTGGCTAATGCCGTGTGTTACACTAGATTCTGTAAGTATTTCTTATCCAGTTTACATTGGGAGACATCATTATTTGCACGGACTGCATGAGGTATTTATTAAAAAGCAATGGTTAGTTCAGCTTTGATTTTATACTTTTGAAATATGATCTGGGCAAAATCACAAAAGGGTATATTGTCTCCCTTATGTCACAGCATCTGGACATGATTATTCAGGCTGTGGGGAAATTACATCTAGTGATCTATGATGTGTTGGGTCCCCTAATTTACTGACCTAAAAATTCATATCAGTGCTGGATTAATGTTTCTGAGAGTGGAGAGCTATCAAGAGTTTATCAAGGAATGTTCCAGATCATTACTTTAAATATACCCTATAGCTAAAAATCCTTCATCACTGGGGACATTTACATACACAAATATGTTTTACCTCTCTGTTGAATTTGAAATAACAGTATATGTGTCAGTTAGGGAGAAAGAAATGGGAAATCGTCTTTAAAAAGCACAAACACAATGGAGGTTGCACTGCATATACATTTGTAGTCAAAATTATTCAACCCCAATTTAAAATCAGGTTTATTGTCAAGATTTACAGATTTTCAGCTGTTTGCAATAAACAAATGAAACAAAAGCAATTGAAATGCTACAAGTGTGTTCCCCAAATGCAACTAAATATGTAACTTATAATAACCTCTCCAGTCTCAAAATATTTACTAGGTACTGGTAGGGTAATTCTGGCCCAGATTATCCCTAAAATGACATGTACCTCAATACTCACACTTATTTTAAAAAAAAATTTGTTGGTGTTTCTCTTGACACAGTGCATCTGCACAAAAAAATATTCAAATAATGACCCAAGGGCCTGGGCCTATTGGAATCCCTATAATCTTCGGACCAGTGCCCTGTCGTGGTTTTAACTGCTTAGACTGCTGTCGCTTAGTTTGTTCTAGTCCTGTATTTCTAATGTACCAAATCTGGCTACATTCCTTGCCTTGAGTTTGGCATAACCTTTATTCCAATGTACTAAATACGGCTTCTCCTGATCCCAGTGCCCATTCTTGCCATCTGTGTCTGACTGATTCATAGTCTACAAATACAAGAAAAGAATCTGGGTGCTAAATTACTACAAGGATAAATTGCTTCACACTCTGGTGCAACCCCAAAATTCACCAAAAGAAAACAAAAATGTGTGATAGTGAGTGGAGCAAAGTACCCCTTATATACAGAAAGATGTATACAAACTTGTTGGATGTATGAAGTATCTTCCAACAGATGATGATATATATAGAGAAAGAGAAAACACAATAATAGTGCAGATTGTTTGCATAAAAGATGTAAACATATACATATGCAATTAATCACTGAGAGTCATCTCTTAAGTGAATGGTTTGAGAGCTTTCAATTGGAAAAAATGACATTAAATTTATTTGTCTGCCACATGTAGGGTTTAAAATTACATATTTACATAGACAAGAATAAATAGTGATAGAAAAAAAAAAGGGGTGGTTAGCCCCTTACTGGATAAGATGGTGAGTATGACAAATATATGTCTACTCACTACAATAGTGTGTAAAAGTCAGGGTGGCAGGCAGCACTGCTGGGCATTCTCCTGGTTCGGCAAAATCTTGTATAGCTGTGTAGTGCCGGTTTCCAGACAGATCGCAACTCAGCAATATACAAAGTAATTTACCTCAAGGAGGTTTGGCAGGGTTTAGTGAATGAGTCAGAACTATGCCTCAGGGTTAGTAGGGCACTGCTCTGACGCATTGTATAAAAAGGGAAGACCACTGGACCACCGGGAATGCAGTCATCCTGAACAACCTGGGATTATACTCCCTACATGCAGGTACGTAGGAGGGTACTAATACTAAACACACAACCCTCATACAAAATCACACACAGACAACTCCACACACAGTTACACTCAGCCAATGTCACACTCGGTCATACTAAGTCAACTACAAACCCTATCACACACAACCTGCCACACACATGCAATGTCACTCAGTCTGGCTCATACACATAAATATCACACTCCCCAACCACTATAATTACACTCAGACCTCACACATCCAACTCAGGTGTATTGATTAGAGGGGAGTAATAAGGGAGGCCCTTCTTTTTGTTTTTGCACCAAGGCCCACTGGTTCCTAGTTATGCCACTGATCATTACACAAATAGCCTTGTATATAACTGCCTGCAAACCACAGATTAGTTGTTGTAAGAGTGATTCCTGACATCTTTAAAAAAAGGACTCTATACCTCATCTCAATGAAAAGATCTGGGTGCCATTGTATTGTAAGAGAACTCCGGAGACCAGCGCTGCAAGGGGAGAAAAGCTAATTGAAAAAAAATACACATTTTTAACACAAGCATCAGGAACCTGGTCACTTAATTGGTGACTAGGGTACTTTAGTATTAGGAATACACATTTGTTTCCTAATGCTATAGTGCTGTTTTAAACCCTCAGGCAAATTTGGTGAAACCGTACTGTTTAATAAAATAGATAAACTGAGCAAATCTGTGATTTAATATGTTGAAATTCGCATCTCTAAATGTGAGAGGATTGAACTCAACTCAAAAGAAAGTAATATTTTTCAATTTTCTAAAAAAGAAAATATAGATTTATGTGGAGTGCAAGAAGCCCATTGGAGAGCAGGTGAAAAAATACAATTTAAACCTAAAGATTACCCATATACAAAAAAAAAAAAAAAAAAAGAAGGGGAGTATTGACTATTATATCTGCTAAAGTTGCTTTCAGGTTGATTTACCAAGACACAGATAAGAAGGCAGGTACCACATTCTTATTGGGGAAATTAATAACCAAATATACATGATTGTTAATGTTTATGCGTCTAAACAATCCCCTAATAGATACCTACAAAAATTATTTAATAAAGGTGAGAGAATTAGGCAGGGTCGGATTATATATCTTGGAGATTTTAATACACTGGTAGACCCAGACCCAGCTATAGATAGGAACAGCTTGAAAGGAAAAGGACTCACACATGGTGGTGGCAATCAAAATGGTAACTTTGGTGAGATTTTTAGGAAAAATTGTCTGTGTGATCTCTGGCGAGTTTGGCACCCTCAGGAAAGAGATTTTACTTGCTTTTCCAGTACGCATTAAGTTTACTCACGGATTGATTATTTTTTTTGTAGAAGCTGATACAACAAAAAGAATCAGAAAGATTTTTTTCACAATGCTTTGATAATGATACTAAAAGATGAGCATAATAGAGATAGATCAAGTTGGAGACTTAATGATAGGCTCCTTTATAAGGAACAAAACATAGCCTTAATAAAAGAAGTGACAGAGCTTTTTTTTTTAAAGAAAATTTAAGTGATGAAATTCCTATAGATACGTTCTGGTGTGCATATAAATGCACGATAAGAGGTAATTAAATTAGGTTACCAGGGAAAAAATAATTTTAGGAATCT